ACACTGCTCCTTCCACTCCCCAAAACTTTGCAAAGTTGACACCATTGCGATTTCGATACTGATCGACTCTCCGCTTACACCCCCTCCTCCCCAGCGGTCAAGTACCACTTATCTGATGGGATTTCCTCAACGATGCTGTACCCTGTAAGATATTAGTGGCCATCGCCACTAATATAACTCATTTACCAACGAGTAAGACTGCCGACATGACTAGCAATGGGAGCAAATTTTTAGAAAGCTTGCTACAATTCACTGCTTGCCGACAATATGCTTAGCAATAAGTGTAGAGGACTGATCGTATAGAGCTGCAGATGCTATTAACGAAAAATTTTCAAAAATGACATTGACGAATATACGTCGAAAACGGACAATGGAAAGGACGTAAATGAAAGCCGCCAGACCACGAGTTAACCACCGAAGAGGTTAGAAAGTTTTACGAGACAATTCATGCTGTATGTTAGCATGTTTTAAAAAGCATCTAAGCAAACAAACAAAACCGGAATCACAGCAAAAATGAAATAACAACGTTCAAACGGAGCTGCAACAAACAGAAATCAGTTGGGCACGCGGAAGAGGAGTGTCCAGGGGAACGAAAACGGGTAAACTCACGAATAACCAGAATAATAGTGACCAGTATATCCCTACATACATATTCCCTAACTTGCAGCTATCGACCGGAGGTGCGACAGCCGTGGCAAAGTTCCAGCTGGTCCCGCAGCGAACGCGCAAGCTAGATACTGGAGCCAAGACGTAGAAAATAAAAGCGCCAAGTTCCTTGAGAGAATAAAAGTTTCATTAAAATTTAACTTGAGCTTTGAAAACTGCCCGTTTAGTCCGGCTCATATGCGGGGTGCTACGTAATGTCCATCATCAAGGCTTGATGCCGCCCGTAACATTTTTCAAATCCTCGTAATTTTGTTAACCTCCTCGACGAAATAGTACTCGCGTGTTTGGTTTAATCCACGGAGGGTTGCCTCGAAGCAAGCGTAATGGTATCATGTTTGGGAATATGAATATAACACCGTCCTAGAATGCTACATCCAAAAGGTAAAACGTTAAAGCTGAAAAGTGCGAAGAGGTAACTGTGGGCCGGAAGGTTTTTGCTAAAGCTACGTTCATACCGTACATTCAGTTAGCAGCAAGTCCAACCGATCGCTGGATAAGGGTTTTTAGCAAATTTGGTGAGTTAGCGTATCTTCACGGTAAACTTGCGTTGAGACGCGATGCAGTTGCGACTAGCAATTGTTCAAAATTGTGTGTTTACTCACCTCATGGTGCTAACCAATTAATAGAACCTAGAACTAGCGAACAAGGCATTCATTTTTCGCCACCTTAACAAAAAACGCCGGATGTAGAGCTTGTTATCTTGCATTGAGTTACTCCTGTAGCTAGCTTTTCAGAGATTTTTCGGCGCTCCAGAGTTGTAGTTGAGCAATGCCGTGAAGGAATACTGTTCACAGTCAACCGAGTTTCTGCTGGACAGGTCCAGTCTGGAAGAGTATGTGTCGTTTGCAATTAAAAGATCAGTTTCAAGTTGAAGAATGTCATTTAATTTTCAATCATTTCAGTCCAACCCATTCATTCTCGCTATGATTGTGTCGCAATTTTCGATCCTTGAGATCGGTGACTCTGGTGACGAGCTGTTCATGAGCCCATACCAAGTACGACAGGAAATTTCTCGACTTATGGGCGTTTTTGAGGATGTCACGTCTGGGCTCGTTGCTTTGTACATGAGGCGATCGGCGGAACTCATATGTGTGGTTGCTGCGTGGGTTTTGTTACTGTTACTACTGCATTGAAATGTCGTACTGCTCCACGATATCCACATTTATAGTCTTCTTGAGAAGAGCGTTCCTTTCGCGTTCGTTTGCTCACAGGGCGATGCTTCCTCATTTGGTGCGCGATGGATTTTCGACGGGAAAGAGGTAAGTTGTGGATATTGGTCGAACACACTGGTGCATTGCCGTAGTCGAACTCCTGCAATTAACTTTATACAAAAGGCTTGTAATGGCGCGTTCATCCTTTGCGAATGTGAAGATCTGACGAATGTAGAACTGAAGAGACCCTGCAGAAAATATACGTGCCGATTTGAAGAATGGATGAATGGTTTTTCGAAAGAATTCGTGTTTGCGCGAAAAGAATTAGGATCTGGAGGTTTGAAAAATTGACGAATGGAAGAACTTATGAGTAGGGAGAATGACGAATCGAGGAATGAAAAGATTCGACTCCGCGAAGGCTGTGTTCACACTTTGCGTCAACGTTTCGAAACACGGCAGCGTTTTGGGCGTATTTGGCGACTAGGAAAGATAGGTGTCGATCGAGTGTTTCGAATGCGCGCCAGCGTTTTCAACGTATGCCTGAAAATCTCAGACTACCGGGGAAACGCTCAAAGCAGGCGTATGCTCGAAGCGCTGTCGCAGCTCAAAACGCAGAGCGCAACCGCACGCATCTAACGTGCTTTGACGAGAGCTAGGACCAATCGACCGCACCTCTGTGTCCCTTTCCCGAAAAGGCTCAGGCTTGGACCGCAGACGATCACAAACGCCGAGGGATAGTTGCACGAAGGAGATATAGTCCCCATTAACCATAAGCCTAAACTTCGATCAGGGAAGGGATAGATGCGTTGGCAAGTTGTTCCCCCAATTACGTTCGCTCCGAATCGACGAATGGCAGAATAGACTGACGAGTGTGCGAAGAATATCAGGAGTGTTTCGTTCTGAAGAACTAATGAATTTAATAATTGCAGAAGTAGGTCGGTACGTATGCATTCCTCTTCGCAGTTTCTTCATTTCTTCAGTTCTTGTTCTTTGCGGCCTGAACTTCAGGAGTCGTTTCCGTCTCATCCCCTCCCCCGGTTTTCTTATGTTTAACAACACTTACTGCTGCCAAGTTAGGAGAAACGCTAGGGTAATGGGTGTAAGATGAGTTCTGGAGTGCGTGGATCACTTCAAAGGGCACATCATCGCCATAGGACTTTTTCAAGCTTTCTCCGCGCTAACCGGTCCCCAACCTTAGTGTGCCTTTGCAGCAGTCTTTTTGTGTTTCTAGTGGCAGAATGTTTTGGTTCCAGTTCATCAGTTTCAGTTGATCGAACTTCCTTCCAACAATCTGGACATCGAAAATACACCAAAGGGCTTATGCTACGTAATAAGAACATCTGGAAGCACTGGCGTGCCAAAACTGGTCGGCGTTCCATATTCCTGCATTGAGCCCAACATTGAAGACTTCAGGTATACACATTTTGAACTTTTGTCTTTCCATTCTAGCTATCGTTTAGAATTGTGCAATATTGGGTACTGGGCTCTCTGAATTGTAAGCAAAGGGCATGTTCAAACGGCCGAGCTTAGAATATAGGTTCATGTCGTTACAGGCCCCTCCTGTTGCTCACCTCCTCGACGCTTCTTTCCTCTGAGTCTCCACTAATTCGCCATTACCATGGCCTTCCTCTTTCTCACCATGCATTCCTATTTTAGCACTCCTCATTCAGATTCTATAGTTCCGCCTTTTCCATGCGCCATTTCAAGGCATTCTTTCAACACTTTGCCACTCTTCGTAGAGAGAACAAACTGCAAGCAGTTGCCCAAATTGAAATTTTCATAAGGGGAACAGCGGAAACGCAATGACAAAGCAGAGCCCTCATTCCTAAAACATTTATGTTGTTATGCTCTATCATTTTGTTTTGTTTTGTCTTTGTCATTGATGGAGTTATTTCAGGGAGAGATTCGCAATTTCACATGAAGATATCATTTTATGCTCAACGTCTTTCCTATTCGACCCTTCCATAGTAGAGCTGTTTCTTTCCTTCGTCAGGTATGCCGCTGATTCAAATGATTTATCGCTATATGGCTATGCTGGCTGTTTGCGGTGGGACACCATTTCTTGTGAATTACTTTCAGCGGCGCCCGTTTGCTGCTTGTCTCAGATAATGCTCGTTCGCAACCACATTTGTTGTCGGGTGTCTTGAAAAAATACAGGCCGTCAGTCGTACAGGTTGGAATTCCTTATTGTGGCGGCGATTCCTTGACGGGGTTAACCTTTCATCCCTTAAAGGTAACTCCATCGGTCCTATCGCTTCTGGACGACAACACCACTGCATGGATGCTAGGCGATTTATCTCCAATCCGATGCCTTCTCATAGGTTTGTCAGCCTTCATGCAAAGCAAGATTTCCTAGAGACTTTCACTGAGGCTCTATTTGGATGAAATCGTCGCAGTCTGCAATGCCGAAATGGCAGCAGTAATCTTGTGGTCATAGTTGCTTGCTCACCCTAGAAACAACCAATAATATTGTTAGGAATCATGGAGTAGCAAACATGTGCCTTAGGCTGCGTTCATACTTTGCGTAAGCGCTCCGGCATACGTCGGCGTTTCAGCTACTGCCCGCGGAAAGCTCAAAAGTATACACGAAACTCTGGAAAGCTCAAAACACTGCACTTTCCTAGTCGCTCGAAATGCTGCCACGCGCTCAAAATGCTGAACGCACTGTTGCGATGCTAACACGAGATACAACTATGCCGAGTCATTGAGAATAATAATGATACTGTGTTAGTAGTTAATGTGCCTTCCGAGGTTGATAGGTGGAACTTTTATTCAACGGCCAACGTTTCGACTGAATCGTCGTCTTCGGGACCTGAATTTTTATTTATTTATTCTGTAGACATGTCAAAAAACGTGAGTAGAATTAAGAGAACCGCAGTTTCCGATGATGACAGAGACAAAAAAGCTAACCAAACACATCAATGCGTTTCTTAAAGGTTACAATATGATTCAGTGATACTATTTCGTTGTTGCAACTCTCTTCTGAACTAGATCTTTGAGGCAGTTTACGTTTACTTGACTCCACTCGCTGACTTTCACTCCTGGTCGAGACGTGAAATTTTCTTTTCCGTACTTTTTTTCGACTGCGTTAATTGCTGTGCTTTCTCGATTCACCAAAATCCCTTAACTAGTAGAAAACAAATCCAAATTCAAATTCAGGAGGCGAACAATTTCCGGTGCATCTTGTGAACCGTTTCCGCACAGCTACAAATTCGACCAAAGTTTTCAATGTTTATGGTGTAACTGAAGTCTCGTGTTGGGCTACTGTTTCTGAAGTAAAATACAGGTCTGAAATACTGTATGCTGTTTTGTAAGTAGCGTGATGAACTTTGCAGCGAGCGTGTTTATATTATCTCCTTAATCTGAATTGAGACGGAACTCATAAAAGGATGACCAAAAGAGAACAGGGCTCGTCACCGAAATGGGTTTTTGAGGTGCAATATTTAGTTAGGCCAGAGAAGATTTATTCCTCATAGGTTCGTAGTGCGGTGGGTCCAACATGGAATGAAAAATGCTTTGCAAAAAGCCAAGTGCTGCGCTGCATCATAGATGTTCTGGTATACCCTCGTGTAGAAATTCCATAAGAGATGTGTGCCGGAGCGGCTCCTTTTCCATACCGGGTGTGCAGTTGGCAGTCTTTTGCATGAGTATCTATAACAGACTGCTTATGTTATTAATGCCGCCACCCCTAGCTCTTTGAAGAGTCTCTGGAAAAACAGAATAACCGTGGTTCATTTGAGTTCGAGGGTGGAACGAAACAACTCTTTATCACTAGTTTCACTACTAACCTTCTTCTTTTGTTTGAGAGGTCCGAAATGAGGAACACACGACGGTGTGTATACCAACAATAAGACAAAGGGTAACACAGGCCATGATGCCAAGGAGGCAGTCTGCGCGATGAGATATATACCACGTATGCACTAGTGTGGAAGATGACTGTACACACACGTTGCCTATGTGTGAGGTGAATGGGCCCGCAGTTGAAGTAGCGTGCCACTTTCTTCGATAAAATGTGCACAAAAACGGAACTGGAGGGTACTGGTATCCCTTTGCCGTTTCTGGGCGCGCCCTCGCTCACCCAGGCCAACCACAGGCCTAACCATAGCCAGATGCGCTACACTTGTCTGCCTCCTCTCACTTATGCTTGTTCTCTGCCTTCAACTGTGTGCTCGCTGCGGAATTTCGGTATCGAATGTGTTGGACCTTGAGATAATGCAGCGGAATCCTAGTCGGCGCCCGGGTAACACTACCCTTCAGCCTCACTTCCTCTCTCATGGCAAAGGTTTTATACTTGTACAAATGCCAAGCCGTTCTCTTGCCACATGGGAAAGACTACCTTCGGAGGTAAATGTACAGATTGCCTCTGAATAATATTGCAAACATTGTATTGTGTTGTGAAATATTGTAGAAAGAGGTGTAATGTAGGTCTACAGTTTCTTACGGTAGTGTTTAGGCCCTGTTAAAGACAGCCTCCGCGCTCGAGTAGTGCGTGGTCGTCCTTCCTTGCGCAAGTAGCACAGCCCCCAAGCTAGAGACCGTCCCACTCTCGCGACTCCACAGCTCGCTCGCTGTGGAGTCGCGAGAGAGATAAGCGAGCTACAGCTGCTGAAAGTTCTAGTTCTAACGCCCGCCCAGTTGGACCGCCCACTTGCTAGATGTCCTCTGACGGAGGGCCGCTCAGTTGTTCTTTGTTGGGGCGGCGGGCATTAATCGGAATTGCATGCCCTTTTTGCTGACCGCGCTCGTGCCCATGAATGATTCTTCTCTCTCCTTTATTACATTTTATTTATAAGGAGCACATACAGTCAAGCTCCAACCCATCTTGCAAGGTAAAACGCGTAAAAATCACGAGCGACCCAATTTTCGTGGTGCAAAAGCTCGACGCACCACACTACACTAAAAGATGCACGCTACCGTAACCCCAAATTCAGACGCCTAGCTTTTGAAGTTTCTTTTCATTTTCAAGAGTTTTTCCACTACTGGGAGATGTGATAAAGGAATTTGTGAGCCAGGGGTTGCACAGAGACCGCAGGAAGGTGTGACTGCCAGGGAGCGATTTTGTTTATAGTGTTCTTGAGGACTCTTCTTGCTTTTTTCTTGGGGAATTACTTATCAGCTACTGTTTCATAATTGAACAGCAACTATCCATGACACTTTTATCGCGGGAGCTGTCTTTGAACATTCTACAGCGTGGCATGGTATGTCATAGACGGGCGGCGGATTATGTGTAGAACGGGTGTACCCTTCCTTATAAACCGCAAAACTCCCTTAATGGGAGAATTATTTTGCGTAAACTCCCCACTAGATCTACGTGGAAATCTTATTCTCCAACGCTAAATGCCTCCATGCAAAGAAAAATCGAAAATTTCGTGGAAGGGGCATATAATAAATGACTTATACATTATTGATATATCAAGAAACGTCATGCGATGCCATAGCATGTCCTGGCACGTAAGGAACTGAAAGGCGGCCTTATTTGGACTGGTAAATGCTTACAGAACCAGGCGCTCATTAACTTTTTTCTTTCTAGGTGTTGTCACGTAGGAATCGGTGAGCCGATAAAATGCACTTCTCTATCGCTGAAGGACGGAGAACTATTGATAGGTATTTATTCAGTAATTACTGAGTACTTGTGTAACTTTTAACTCTTTCTCCCAATAATTACTCACAGGAGGCTCGAGGCGGTGTTTCGTGAATGGTGTTCTCAGTGGTGAGTATACATCCACTGGAGACATTGCTGAGGAAAGAGGAGGTGAATACTTCATAACTGGAAGAACTGATGACCAGGTGTGATCATACCTTGATATTTGACACTGTAGTAACTGCTCGCGTATTTCCTGCAACTAAGTACGCTTTTTTGGACTCGAATTTCAGGTTCTGACTCAGAAATTTCTGATTTAGGTTAAAGTCAATGGTATTCGTTGCAATCTCTCATCTATCTCCGAGCAAGTTGCCAGTTTAAAAGGCGTCACATTCGCTCAGTTCTTGTTGTATAAAGGAAAGTTTCTGGTATTGTTTGCAACATCTGCTTCACCACTCGAAAGCTCGCTGAGAGAAGTTCTTCCTGATGCATTCTACCCTTCAAAAGTGATATACTTGGATAGTGTTCCGGTCAACTCGAGCGGTGGGTTCCTCTGAGTGTCTGCGGTCTTTTATTTTAGTTTGAGTTCTAGTCTATTTTAGGAAAAGCTGACCGCTCACAGTTGATTGCAACGTTGGAAAAAGAATGTTCCATACAAATGAACTCATTCACATCTGCGCTTAATTTTCTGCAAAAATTTGGCATTACGTCTACTGCCGACCTCTCGTCGCACTCCTTCGTTGATTATGGTAGGTGATTGCATGAAACATGTTTGAAAGTGAAAAGCAACATGATTTTTTTGGAATCCATTCTGCTGAAGCAGCCGAGATAGCGCTACATCTGGGAAATGCGGAAGCATTGCACGATATTTTATCTCCCCAGAAGACCATTGCCGAGGTGCTGGAGAGATATTCGAATGGCTCCTGGTCCGTATCAGGTAGTTATCGACAACTCTTTCCCTGCCTAGGGCATTTACCGTGTACGACTAATTTAGATCAGGAAAAAGTAAATTCGGGAAACCCTAGAAAGGAGTTGACTGTCGTGGTAGAACCTCAGCCAAACACTAAGTGGGCTTTCTGCACAGGGAAGTGCATCGACAGTACGCCACTTCTCGTTGAGTATGTCTCTTTTGGACCTACAATGACTTGTATGCGCCAGTGAACATCCTTAGTCTACAAGTCTTATCTTTTCTTTAAGGTTGCCCGAAGGAGATCACGTAGTAGCTGCTTCTCACTCTGGGCTTGTTGTGTGCATTCGAATCAAAGACGGGTTTTGTCGGTGGCAGGTAGCTGTGCGATTTTTCAACCACATTTTTCTTCTTTTACCTTTTTTTCATTCAGAGTCGGTTCCAGTGTCGATTCGAGGCTTCCGTTGAGCGCTGTCCATACCATTAGCAAGAATTATATCGTATAACTAGTGCACTTATTATTGCTCCTTATCCGCACAGTCTTGCTATCTCTTCACAGTGCATTCTTCTAAGAATCGCCTTTCTATACAGTTAGCAACCTTGTTTTTTCATTCGCTTTTGATTCCAGGTGGATTTGATGGATGCATCTATTTTTTGTCTGTGTTCACGGGCTCCGTAGAATGGAAATTCGCAACCGATGATGTAGTCAAAGCAGCGTGTGCAACTTACGGATGCTGGTATTGTCTACGTGCCGTCGTACGACAGAAAGCTGTACAAACTGAACAGCGAGGTGGAGCGATACTGCTAAGAGGAAGTGTGTTTCTATATCTCTTAATGGATTTTGCAGCTCAAAAGTTGTTGCTGGTCCTGCACGATCCAAAGCGGTTCTCCAGCGAAGCCCGTCATCTGGGGTGAATATGTTTTAGTAACAACCATTAGAGGCACTGTTGAAGCAGTCGATTCGGTCAGTTTCTTTTTCAAGGGATTAGCTTTTCCTTCCAGGCGCTCTTCCTTATATACCATCATCACTTTAAATTCACCCCTTTTCAAACCAAATTCACCCTCACTTTTCACATCAAATTAACCACACTTATTAGGGCGGGCAACTCATCAAGCAGATCACGCCAGACATCACTGCGAGCCCCGCCCACTTGTCAGCGCGGACATAGATTCTCAAATCTTGTTTTATAACTTCTGCTTTTGTTGTTTCCCACTATGGCCGACTCCGCCAACTCTAAAGGGTTTGGCAATCTAGGCTGACCACGCCCACTTGCTTTTCGCGGACTTTCGATATTTTTTCAAAATTTTTGCATTTTAGGGCTGCTGCGTGAAGCCCCGCCCACTGTGAGAGGCTCCGCCCACTTTGAAGAAGCCCCGCCCACTTTTCAAAAATGGTGCAAATCGGCAGTATAGAGCCTTGGCTTGCATGCTAGGGTATTGCTGATCATTCGGAATAAACTTTGCCGGATTTTCTTGTTCCGAGTGACGAACGAGACCCTAGCATGCAAGCCAAGTCTACTGCCGATTTGCACCATTTTGAAAAGTGGGCGGGGCTTCTTCAAAGTGGGCGGAGCCTCTCACAGTGGGCGGGGCTTCACGCAGCAGCCCTAAAATGCAAAAATTTTGAAAAAATATCGAAAGTCCGCGAAAAGCAAGTGGGCGTGGTCAGCCTAGATTGCCAAACCCTTTAGAGAATGGGCGGAGTCGGCCATGTGTCAATGCCCGGTCGTTTCCAGTCAAAGTGTTTGTGGGAAACAGCAAAAGCAGAAGTTATGAAACAAGATTTGAGAATCTATGTCCGCGCTGACAAGTGGGCGTGGCCGTCGGGGCGGGGCTCGCAGTGATGTCTGGCGTGATCTGGTTGATGAGTTGCCCGCCCTAATTCCCGCCTGGGGCACGAATTTTGCCCATACATAACTTTGGCATTCTTGTGATAACATTCGAAACGCGAACTGCGGCGTTAAACAGCAGTTATCATAACAAAACAGCTGATCATTTGTATTCGCCTGAATGACAATCGTAATCTGTTGAATATGGCCTTCCATTTCTGACAAGCTGTTATTTTCGCTGTTTTTTGTTTTCTGTGAAGAAAAACACCAAATTTTCTCTGTAGTGGGTCTCTACATTCTTACATCAAAGCGGACAACATCGTTTCTCCATTTTTGTGGACACATTCTACGATTACCTACGAAATGAATTCTTCTTGTGTGGGACGCGAGCAGGTCCGATGCCGTGAAATTGAAGAACCATTCGACAGTACGCGGAAATCGAGCCGGTGGCCTGTTTTAGCTCGGCGATCCCTATGCCTCCGTCTGCCATTCGATACGCGATTCGCGTGGCTAGGTTAGGCGCATGGCAGTATATGGCGTTCGTATTCTGTCATGCCGCCCTCCCCCCGCCTGACGACAGGTTCTTGGGGAAGAACTTGGGAAAATGTAGGGAACTAGAAAAATGGTAGGTAGGATGGGGACGGGTGGAGGGGGTTGTCGTATCTTAGGAGAGTGAATTTGGGGAGTCAGTTCCAAAAAATTCCCCTAGCGGCAGGACGTGTCATAGTTATAAGCCACTTGCTTCATTGCCTTTAGGGGAGTGGCGATGACTGCTAAATTTTTCCGACGGATCTGCCTTCCTCGCACACGGAAAGTGTCTGCTTCTCATGTTTTCGCTCAGTGTATAGGGGGGAGCCAAAAAAAGTCACTTTTCTTCATTGACTTTCGAGGCGCTATAAGTTACACTTTATTATCGGACATTTTTACCACCATATTAAAGAGCATATTAAATACTATCATGACACTCCGCCACAGCCTTCTGGACGAGCGCCATCGAGAGATTCTGGCACGCGACCGCGATGTGGTGCCTGAGATCAGCGAGATAGTCGATTTCTCCGCCGCCACCCTAGACCACCCTATTGAACTCCGCCCGAACCGGGTAATTGAGGGGATTCAGGTCAGGTGACCTACTTGGATATTCCATCTTCTTTAGGTACTCAGCCCCCTTCCATTCCAAGTAGGCGAGAGTTTCTCCAACGCCCTTCGATTTCATGTGGTGGCACCAATGCTGTAGCAGTACAAAGTTTCCAAGAAGGTACGGGCGACGACATGTGAGGAGGATATTCTTCACGAGTTGCTCAATGTATGGATGACACTACGATTATCTGCGCTCTGCTAAGGCTGAGCCCAGGAGGTAATCGTAGTGTCCTCTCTTGGCGCCAGCGACAAGAGTGAATGTCATATTCGTAATCAGGATGTTAAACTACCCCATACAAGTTTTTAGCGGATTTGGTGACTTAGGCAATTTAAAAATGAGCTCGGTGCCGAAATTTCTGGAGTCCAAACGGCATTAGGCGGCCCCTCCCTCCCTCCTGTTTTCGTTCATCTCATGTGGTCCGCTTTCCTATTCTACCTATCTTTCTAACTATTCACCACTTCTTATCACATTTCTCAACTATCGATAAATTTTTGCGGTTTCTCCCAAAAAAACTGCCATCCACTGAAGGGGCGGGGGACACCATGAGCTACTGACTCAACTTTCAGAATTTTGTAACGAGTAGCTGTAAGGGTAACTGCGCGGGGGCAACCAAGGGGTATATGGCGATTATGAAAGGGGAACCGAGAACGCTTACCAACTTCGAAAAAATTCTTAAAGGAAAGTGCAACCCTTTCCCCAGCGACCGATTCCACCTACCTTTCATAGGATTCTCCCAAAGGTGCTGTACCCATTTCAGCTTCCTACCGCTTTACATCAAGCTTTCGCAGGGGGTACGTATTTATTGCGGATCCGCTTTTCTAATCCATTACTTTAGCCTTCGTGTTTCTTTTAAAATTTTGACGTGAGAGGT